TGTTGGGACAAACAAACACCCCAGAACACATCCCCCGGCTCTGTTGGGACAAACAAACACCCCAGAACACATCCCCCGGCTCTGTTGGGACAAACAAACACCCCAGAACACACCCCCCGGCTCTGTTGGGACAAACAAACACCCCAGAACACACACCCCCTGGCTCTTTTGGGACAGACACCCCAGAACACACTCCCCGGCTCTGTTGGGACAAACAAACACCCCAGCACCCCCTGCCCCAGCCGCGTCCCGGGCACACGCCGCCGCTGCCGTGGGAGAGGGGTTGGTGCCGGCACTGCCGAGGGTGGGTGCCCGCCGGGGCTGTCAGGGCCACACTCACCCCCTGGGCTGTGGGTGCTCCGGACCGTGGCCAGCAGACTTCTCCCGATGTCCCTTTTGCTTCCTCTTTTCTGGTGGTGGAAGGTGCATGGAATGGGTGGTCGGATGCACTTGCAAATGGACGTGAAGGGGCCACCAGAGGTGTGCGTGCACGCACACCCCCCTGTGCCCTGCCCTCCCTCAGCCTGCTTCACACACTCACACTCACACAGACACACACACACACTCACACTCACACAGACACACACTCACACAGACACACACACTTTGTCAGTACCTCCCAGGCCTTTTCCCGGGGCCTGCCCCTCGCCCAGCCTGCGGCAGGACAGTCTCTCCATGCTGAGGCTCTGCAGGCTGATGCCTCTGGGCACATCCCCCCAGACTGGCCTCTGGAGGTTCCTGCTTCTTCTGCAGCAGTTGGTGTTGAGCAGGATCAGATATAGGAGCCTGTTTTAATCACAGCTACCCCTATATCAGACCCGTATTTCTCCTTGCCAGGGTATGTTCCTGTATCTGTTTCTTTCTTTCCCTGCGCTTGTCCGCTGCGATGTTCATCACCATCATCTCCTCTTCCTCCTCTTCCTCCTCCTCTTCCTCCTCCTCCTCCTCAGATCCTCAGCTCTTGAAGACAGTATTAAACAGTACGAGCAGGATCTGGCCAGGAAGCTGTACCAGTCCCGACAGTGGGCACCTGCTCCCGGGGCCAGGCCAGCTCAGATGTCTAGTCCAGTGCAGAGTCACGCCTCAAGACTCGCTGGGTCGGGAAGCCAATCCAGGTGTGCACAGCCCCCTCCCTGCCAGCTGCATGCTCCACAGCCCTGCCTGCACCCCGCGGCCCACGCAGGGCTCCCAGCTCTGCCTCCCGGGCTAGGCAGCAAAGTCCAGTGCTCACTGGTGTTCCTTTCCCTGAGGCCCCACAGGCCGCCGCGTGCTCTCGGTGAGGAAGGGGGGGATGCTGGGACTCGGGGAGAAAGGAGCATACGTTTCTGAGGGCTGAGCCCGCTCTTCCTTAGCTGTGTCACAGTCTCCCGGTGGCTGAAGAGGGTTAAGATGCAACACACTGAGAGCTCAGGGGAGAGTAAAGCCCTGGGAACCCACCCTACTCGTCTGAGCCCCTGCAGGCCCTTTCCCAGCCAGGGTGCTCTCCCGTGATGTAGGGCACCTCTGGAAGGGCCTGCAGCTCCTCAGTGCCTTGATGCTTGGCTCCAGGCTCCGTCCGTTCAACACGTACGATGGCAGGTGTGTCTGGGGGTGACAGCAAACAGGGCTGTTCTCCTCTCCTGCTGGCAAAGTGTCTGCCTCAGGGAACCAAGGGTGCCTCGTTTTGCCTTTCTGCACTCAGCCTCTTGGCTGTGGTCTGGCTGCTGGGCACAGAAGGTGGCATTATCCCTTAATGAGAAGGCAACGGCTGATGTCTTTTTCTCCCTCCTTCATTTCTGAGGCAGAATGAAATCGCTTGAACAGGATGCTCTTAAAGCCCAAATGGTTATTGCCAAGTCCAAGGAGGGGAAAAAACGCAGCACACTGGAGCAGCTGGCAGAGTCACCTTCACCCATTCCCACCCCATCGCCAACACCACTGGAAGGTACTGTACAGCCACCTCTGTCTGGGGAACAAAGCTGATGCTTCTCTAGCCTAACTTGTCCGAAAGCAGACCTGTTGGAAGCAATTCCTCCTTCAGGCGAGGCCGGGAGGTCGTTTGGGGCATAGGGTTGGGCCTGAGGTACAGAAAACACCAAAGAACATCTGAAGTATGGTTCCAGGGAACCAGAGCAGAAATAAAACCGGCATCGTGACTCCTTAAAAAAAAACAGGAAGGAGGCTTTTGGTCTGGGAAGGCAGCATGTCTCCCAAGCAGAGTCTTTTATCACACTCAAATGCTGCAAAATAGAAGGGGCAGACTCGGGGAAGTGTTGCACTTAGTACAACCGTTCACTGAAAGGAGCTTTTCTGTCCTCTCTTGCAGATTGCAGTCCCAGAAACGTCACTTCGCCAGGAAGGCTGGTATGACACACTTCTGCTTGCTTCTGTTACCTCACCTATAATCCTGGGATTTCATGGTTACTCATCTTGGGTGTCGACTGTGCATCTGGGCCGTGGGATCCCTGCTTAAATACTTAAGCCAGAGATCTGGCTGCATGACACACAGAATTGGGAAGAGGGCACAGAGCTCAGCCACACCCATTGCTAGAGGCATCCCCCCTTTTTTGCAATGACAATGTAACATCTGGTTTTGTTTCCCTGTTTTATTATTTTATCCTTTTCTTGGTTCTTCATCCCTGTGTTGAGAAAGCCCTTCACTTAAAAGACTTTGGCCCCGTGTTTCCTCAACAGCATAAAACTGAGAACTTTGGCTGAAATCAGCCAAACAGAGAGGAGACCTGCTTTTGTCCGGGGTCACACAATAAAACCACCTCTGGATTGAAATCCTGACTGTGCTGCAGCCCTCAGGAACCTTGCCACAAATTTCCCCATGGAAAAGGCTTCCTGCCTAACTAAAGTGTGTGTGTGTTTTACTGGGGCACGCTGTGTTTCCTCTGCAGCTTGGAACCCCTGTCCTGACACCAGCTACAGAGAAAGTCCCGGAGGTGCCTCCTTTCCAGAGGCTGTATCAGGGCTCCTGGCACTAACAGAATGATGCTCTGCTTCTGCTTTTATCTCTGCACAGGTTGCTCCCCTTGCTGCTGGTTTTCCATCTGTTTCTCTCCCCTTACTCTCTCTTCTCTCTTTCTTCTCTTTTGCTGTCCCTTCTAGTCCATGTCTGAAAAGAAGTTTGACTACCGGGAATTTGCTGCTATTCCTTCCTCCAAACCTGTTTACGAAATCCAGGTATAAATGCATGCTGAGCCTTCTGTTAGAGCCGTTAGGGCTTGGTGTGGTGGAAGTGCCTGCACATGAAGTGACTGTCAGAGCAGAGCCTGGATGATTCAAGCAAGTCCCCTTCAGAGGCCCTGTCTGTGTGGGAGGCAACGACAACCCACCGTGCTGTGTAACTGAGGGTTTACTGGAGGCTTCACTCAGGGGGATTTGTGAAAAAGTTGGTCCAGGTGGTCTTAAAATCAATGACAAAAGCTTTGCAAATATAAAGCAGCTGCATCTTCACCTTAATTGATCCTGATATGTTTTTAAGTGAAAGATGAGAACTAAAAGGGAAAAAAAAAAACTATAGCAATTCTTGCCAACAGATTGCAAATTGGAGCAAATGTTCACTTCAAGCTGGAATATATCCAGCATCCTGCCCAGGAAGCACCTGTGGCAACAATTCTCAAATGTTGTAACTCTGCTGTAGATGAACTGTAAAGCAGTCGCGTGGTAGGAGAACACCAGGTTTCAAGGGTGAGCGCCATGGCAAGGTGGTTCTCTTTCCTAAGAGAACCTCATTTCATTTAAGCTGCTTTGCCACAGAATCACAGATGGTTGAGGTTGGAAGGGACCTCTGGAAGTCACTGACCCCCTGCTCGAGCAGGACCACCTGGAACCAGTTACCCAGGACTGTGAACTGCTTTTCTCTTGCTGTCTGGGTTGGACATTAACTGGTTGCATTTGTGACGGCTGATCCGGGCAGACACTGTGTGTCTGCACAGGGTTTTAGTGTTGTATAAAGACAGTGAAGCGGATACCTGCCATTAGGTTTGTGCTGCCTGTGGGGAGCTGGCAAGGACTGAGATGTTGGGCTTTAACTCACAAAGATCCCGGGTCCAAGGTGTCGCCCCCAGAGCCAAGCTGACTTGGGCAGAGTTTGAGGGTTCTCAGGCAGTTACACGTTACTTGATGCATGTTCTCGGCTGACTCCTTTCACTGGTGGCACTGCTCAGCCCTTGGTGGTCACTGACCCTTCCTTGGCAAATCCCTCCCCGTCCGGGCTGTGCCCCCGCCCAGGTTCTGTGCCAGGTGAGTTCAAGGCTGGTCAGAGCTCTGGGGGCAGCTCCGGGCTGCCCGAGTTTCCCCAAGTCTCTGCTGAGTGCAGCGCTGGTTCTTCTACAGCTGAGAAGGTGCCTCCAAAGGAGGCTTCACCTCCAGAGCACCGGGCGGTTCCTCTGGACCCCTCTCAGCAGTGCAGTACCCAGGAGACTGTATTTTTTGCTGGCTGTAGTCACACAGACGTGTCGCCCCGGGTCAGTGCAGTGCTGGGGGTCACCACGGCCCCTCTGCTCTGCCTACTGCTCGTCACAAAGAGCACAGCTTCTGCCCTACATTTGCTTTATTTCTAAAGCACCAGATGGGCTGAGGTCATCTCCCACTCTTCCCTGCCTCCTCCAGTTTTGCTGCTTGCACAGAATAGGCAGGTTTCTGTGGAAATGGGGGCTTCCTGCACTCACAGTGAAATTCCCTAATGCTTCCCCTATAACTGTGCAAAGCCGCCATCCTTTATCCTCCAACTAAAGAAAAATTAAGCTACACCTCACTTGTGCTCTTGAGCTGAGCAGGACAACCCCTAAAAGATAGATTTTGGTCAGTCTGGCCAGAACTTCCAGACAAGTTTGGCGTTATTAAAGTTGCTGAATACTGAACTCTTCTGAAAGCCTGTCTGTACGTTTGTATCGCTCGGAGAAGTGCTGAGCTCAGCCTAAGTGTTGTGCACAAACCTAGGAAGAATCGTAGTACTAACAAAGGCAGCTGCTGCTTTTGAAGTAAACAGAATACCTCAACAGAATACTTTGACCTTTCTATCCTTGAAGCACTCTACACAGCTAAATTAAATTATTTCAGCGGAATGGGTCGGGCTGAGGACATTTATGCCTGTCCCCAGAGTAATGCTGCTTTTCAAGCCACCCCCAGTTCATGACCATGTTGTGTCCCACGGCGCTGTCACTCGGGGCTGACGCGCTGCAGCCGGCTCTGGCTGCTGGAGGGGTCTCCGCTCTGTGAGGGCTTTGGAGTTAGCAGGAGCCGGCGGGGCTCCAGGATTCTCACTTTGCAGTTTCTCCAAAGGGCTCTAACGAGGGGCTGTAACTGCCTCCTGTCCCACATCAGTCCTCCACACACTGAATATGAAGAAGAACGTTGATTTTTGCATGAGAAGCCAGGCCTGGGAACAGTGCGATGCAGGGTTAGGATCCAGGACTCTCGAGGAAATGCAGCTCATGTCTTTGCTCTCCTCCTGTGTTTCTGCTCGTTTTTCTGTAGTCGTTACACTTTCTGCCTTTCGGGTCGTTTCCTGCCCTCTCCTCCTGCACACAGAGGAGGAGGAGGAGAGCTGGATGTGCAGACACACGCCTCATCCTGCCATTCAGGCCATGGGCTGCTTGGCTCTAGCACAGAGGGTGTCACCACCTGCACGGGGGGTTGTGCCCAGCTGCCGCAGCCCCTGCGAGGGCAGGAGGTTCCCTGTGGCGTGGGAGGGCAGGGGTGGGGAGGTGCCTGCCGCCAGCTACAGAGGTGGCTGCTCACCTCTTGTGTTCTCTTCCAGTCGCCTGATGCAGCTGATGACCTCAGATACGTAGATGACAGAAACAACTCAGGTAAGCTCACGGAGGGCCCATCCTCGTGCCGCTCGCTTCCCACCGTGTTCGAGAGGGTTCCCTTTGCCTGCTTGGGGAATCAGCCCCGAGGACTTCAGCTTCTTGCTGCTTGAAGCAGTGTCCTGTTTTGTTTGTTCTAGAATGAAACCTCCACACTCCCCACGTTCAGTTTTGGGTAGGATATTTGCATTGTGCTTTAGTGGTGGCTACTGCTGAGAATGGTGTGTAACAAGCATGCTCAGTTTCCTTCCAGTTTTGTGTTCTGCAGTAGAGTGGCAGTGGAACAGGGCAGGATGTTTTGGCCCCTGTCCCCCACTGTAAGTGAGTGACACCGGTGTTCAGGATCCGCAACGTCCCCCTTTTGCTGGAGCAAAGGATCTCATGCCTGCAGCTGCGTGTAAGTTCATCCTGGCTTAAGACTTGAGAGCGTTTGGGTGCTTGAGTACCCAGGTGACTCTCCAGGTCTGTGCTGGTGGATCTGTGTTCACAGTCAGCTAAATGCACAGGAGTTAAAGCTTTGCCGTGGCCCGTCAGGCTGTCCGAGCTCGGGTCTGTATGTCTGTCCCAGCCGTGACACACAGGCTCAGACTTGCCTCCCACTTCACTCTAGTGCCTGTGGCAGTGGTGTGGGGCTCAGCAGGGCCTGCCTGCTCCTCAGTGCTACTCCTCTTTCCTTCAGCAGTTGATGCTGCTTTTCTTCTACCTGTTCTGTGGCTGGTTTTTCCCCCTTTATTTTAAACAAGGAACAGTTTCTCTCTCAGTTTTATCTTGACAAATCTCTTTGAGTAAAGGCTGCACTCCAGACAGCTGATCCATGTATGGGCCATTTCCAGAAAGAGGTTCTGTTGCAAGAAGAGCTTAATTTCCTGAGAACAACATCTGTTCTTTATCCCTCAGAGTAAACCTCTCAACCCTGGTTATTCCCTTGGCGTAGCTGGTTCCATCAGATGTAACCAGGAGGTCACTGAAGGGTCAGGAAATAATCAGCAGTTGCTTAGGGGCTTCAGACCCCACTGCTGCCTGCTACGGGTCTGTTGGGCCCTCAAATAGAATAAAAACCATAAAGAGTGTGGTGCTCTGCCGAGAGCTTTTAACCCACTCCTCAGTCCTTAAGAAATCCTTCTGTCACTTCTGTATGAGGCTGTGATGTGTGTGAGGCACCAAAAAAATGCAGCTTTCCAGACTCGGTTCGGAAGGGTGGCAGATGGAGATGCAGCTAGGCTCTTTGGGTATGGGACAGAGTGCTCCAGCTTTTAGATTTCCCCCATTCCAGCCAATATATAGATTTTTCATTTTTGCATCGATTTTGGCAAGTTACAACATCTGCATGAGGAATTTTAAAAAATCCTCCTTTTCCGTATCAATTCCAGCCTCCCGCCAGGCCTTCCTAGATATCCTTCTCAGAACACAAGGAGGAAATACTCGGAATACGGCATTGCTCTGGGAAAACACTTGAGAATTGGAGTGATTTTTATTTGCGTTTTTCTTTACTGTAAAAGGAAAAGGAAAGGAAACCAGTTACCAAAAAGACCTGAGGGGGAGTGTATGCTGACCTAGCTCAAAACACTGGTAGGTGTGAGCATCCTCCACCCTGCAGCGTTTCAGGCCCCACTTGCACTGACTGCCGTGTGTTTAATTGAGCTTTGAGAGATCTAGTTGCTCCATTTAGTGACACGTCCTCTGTACACCTCTGCACATACAGGGATTTTAGTCAGAATTATCCTTGATTGTGGAATTACAGCTTTTTGATCATATGGTAAACTCATAAGCAAGCCCTAAATTGATGCTAGAAAAACCCTGTAACGGGAACTCCAGGGATCTCTCCTGCTGCCTGCGGGAAGCCTTAGCAGAGCTCTCCTCTGAACATCCATCAGAGCTCATCGTTTCCTTCTTGTCCATCGCAGGGGGCTCTGCGAAACAGTTCTCTTCATTCTTGGGTCTGACTTCATGGTCGGTCATCTATAAATGTCTTTAAAAACATTTATTCCAAGGTTTTCAAGAGGCCATGAAATTATTAAACCACACAAAAGCATTTTTAAGGTGGAACCATGCTACGTGTTTGCTTCATGACGTAACTTCCCGATCCCTTAGGACCAGGATCTTTTGTTTTCCAATCTGATACCCATCAGGTTTCAGAAGCCCCCCCGTGATACCTTCATACTGCACTTACTGCTGGATCCCTACTTGGGGCGTGTAAGAAACTACCTTTGTCCTCACAGTCTTTGTCCACTTGGGCCGTCTGACGTTACAGCAATTGATAAGGCGTCTCTTTATCCTACACCAAACTAATCCCTACTGTGTTTTCTCTAGGACGCAGCTCAGCAGCTCATACACACTCAGCAGTGAAAGATGATCTCTTCACCTTCTTGTATTGTTAATTTAGCCCCATCCAGCCTTTTTAGCCACATCTCTACTCCAAAGACCTGCACACACCCTTCTGTTCTCCAGACTTCCATTTTACAGATTCTTTTGCACCAAAATGCAAAAATTTCACAAAACCAGAATCTCTAGATTCATACTAGTTGCAATACCTGTGCTTTCTTCCAGTATTTTCTGATTTCTCCCAAGGAGAGGAAGCACGTAAGGGAGCCTTGCAGTGGTTCAGAATACCCCAGGATCCTGTTTGACTGGAAGTGAGTTCTTAGGGAAAGACTGGAAGAAACAGAAAACGAGCTTGCATAGGTACATGTTCTCAGTTTTCTGTAATCATCTATTAAGCAGGGATGTCTTGAGCCAGGTAATGTGTCTAGATCGTCAATGTAATCATCCTCTATAACATTGTCTAGGTTGGGTTTTTTTAATCTTTCATGATGATTTGTGGCATTGAGTTCCATAATTAGGCATTTTGTTTACTTTGGATCTGTTGTCTTGATAATTTCCTTGGGTTTCTGGGATGCAGTGAATAACTGTGTCTTATTCATTCTTTCTGTACCATTCATGTAGGCCAGTATCGTAACAGTTATCTTTCTTCCAGGCTGAAGAATCCTAGTTTTCCTTTCTGGGAATCACTCCCACACCCCTCTGGACCTTTTTTATTTCATCTATGCCATTTTTAAGGTAGAGAAGGAGAACAGGGCTGCATGTAGTATTGCAAATGTAGGTATGTGATGAATTTAGGCAGTGGAGGTGTGTGTTCTCCCATCTTTTCCAATATCTAATCCTCAGAAGTGCAGTGGTATTGCTGAGAAGTGTGCCAGTGGTTTCAGAAAGCTCCCCATGACTACAGAGTTACATTTTAAGGATGCATCCTGGGCTGCACCCAGAGCAGGGTGGGCACAGGGCGAGGGGGGGATTCTCCCCCTCTGCTCCGCTCTGTGAGACCCCCCCTGCAGGGCTGGGTCCAGCTCGGGGGCACCAACAGCAGAAGGACACGGACCTGCTCGAGCGGGGCCAGAGGAGGCCATGGAGATGCTGGGGGGGCTGGAGCCCCCCCTGTGAAGACAGGCTGGGAGAGTTGGGGGGTTCAGCTGGGGAAGAGAAGGCTCCGGGGAGACCTTAGAGCGGCCCCCCAGGGCTGAAAGAGGCTGCAGGAAAGGGGGGAGTGACTCTTGATCATCAGGGAAGGATAGGGCGAGGGGTAGCGGGTCTAAACTGACAGAGGGGAGATTTAGATCAGATCTAAGGCAGAAATTCTCCCCTGTGAGGGGGTGAGGCCCTCGCACAGGCTGCCCAGAGAAGCTGTGGCTGCCCCCTCCCTGGAAGGGTTCAAGGCCAGGTTGGACAGGGCTTTGGGCAACCTGGGCTGGTGGAAGGTGGCCCTGCCCAGGGCAGGGGGTGGCACTGGAGGGGCTCTAAGGGCCTTTCCAACCCAAACCAGTCTGGGATTCTGTGTTGCATTTTATGTGCCACTGGGATTATATTCCCTCTGTCGAGATTAAACATCATCCAGTAACATAAAAATAAATGTCCTGTCTCAGCACGAGGTTCTGGCTAGTCCCATGTTGTATCTGATGCGAGCCACTGGGGTGCCAAGAAAAGAGCATAAAAGAAGAAAAACATAAAGTGATTCCTTCCAGAATGCTAATGCAGGCTAAACCCATCTGGTTTAGCACTAAGACAGAGGCCTTCGATTTTAGAGTTGTTTATTTCTTTCTTGAATCTATTCACATTTGCAGTAAATCTCACCTTCCACATCACTGCCCAGTGCACTCTGTAAAATCCTGATACCCTTTTCTGTAGCTGAGTTTCGTTTGAGCACCCTGATGCACGGCTTGCTGTCAGCAGCAGTTTCTCTCAGTGCAGTCTCCATCGCTTCCCCCTCTCATTAGTTACCCAGCGCTGACCCTAAGAGAGCTCTGCTCTGTGTTGTGATGGCAGGTCATAGCTCTCTGCACTTCTGTGGTTTATCTGCTTATTTACCCACTAAAGGACGTGTCGCCTTATATATAACCATGGCAGCTTGTTCTCATTAAGAGCTTTGGCTGAGGATCAATCAAAAGGGTTTTTTAAAGTTCAGTATGCTGTGTTGAGTTCATGTTAACTTGCATGTTTGATGGCTTCTTTGGCAAATCCTAGTCTAAGAGGAATGACTTCCCTCTAAGGTCCATTGATTTCCTCTCCCACCCCACCCTGCACCTGAACTTTTACGTGCATGTGCCCATCCCTTTCTTTCATACCCTGTTGGGAGTCAGTGGTCTGCTCACCAATCCCAGGATCCTTTCAGGGCGTCAGATTTGTCACCTGCATTCACTTGGTTCTGAGGCCTTTTCAGACAATAGGTTGATGCTATAGTCAGCAGTCGAGGAGGGCTCTGAAGGACACCAGTTGTCACACTGGGGTGCTCTGACAGGGGGATGGTGCATCCTGGTCTGGCTCAGGGGCGGAGGCCCCTGGGTGCAGCTCCTGATGCACCTTCATAGATTTCTGTATTTGAGGTTCTCTGCTACATTCAAAGACTTCAGAGCGGCTTCCCAGGAGGCAGTTTGCAATTGCGGGGAAAAAATCTGTGCTTTTGTAGAACTTTTTTTTTTCTTACACAAGTATCTGGCAGTAGTTGCTGAAGGCCACAAAGGGCAGATGTTCCAGGTGTGTCAGAGCACCTGAGATGGGCTCTGCCAGCTCCTCTCGGGAGGGAAGGATTCACTCACAGCAGAACACATCCTAAACAGCCTGAGAGCAAGTTGGGTGAGAGTCTGCCCGGCCAGAGCATCTTCCCTGGTCAGTTCCCTCGGTGAGGGACGCAGGTCACGGGCTGAGTTTACAGGAAGGGCTTAGTCATGTAACTCCGACAGGAGGCAAGGCCGAAATGCTGACCCGCAGCGCCTCATCCTTCAGCCACGCTGCTGAAGTACTGGCACTGCCAGGAATTTTCAGTGAATCCTGGGTGTTAGGGTCTTCTCACGCATGTGACATCCTTCCCAGAGCCCACGGCAGTCCGCACAGGAGCTCCAGATCCCCTGGAAGTTCTGGGCACAGGGTTACTGTGGATCGCTTTGTGCTGTCTCAGATCCAGCGCCTGGGCACGCCCTTAGTCCACGTGCACAGTCAGCTGTGTCCTTAACCTGGCACTTAGACCCGCAACTGTTCTTGTCCACGCAGTTCCCCAGGAGCAGGATGGGCAGCCAGAGGAAGAGGAAATGTTAGTAACACGGGATTCATCGACACCGACCTCGTCAGCACTTGAGGAAATGGCCCTGTACAGCAGCAAGCGCAAGCTCCGACACAGCCGGCGCAGCCTGGAGGCTGCTGTCCCGACGTAGAGGGTCCGACGCGCCGGGCGATGGAATGGCCCCGCGCAGGGCTCCTGCCTCCTGCGCCCCAGGGACAGCACTGCACTGCCCACACTGCTGCCTCCTGGGCTCTGGATCGGGACTGAGCGCCACGGGGAGCACTGTGGTCAACTGACTTCCTTTAAGGCTGTGAACCGCCCTCTTGTCTCACCCGGTCACGCGCTGGGGCATGGCCTTAGCGACGGGGGACGACACCAGACTGATGGATGGCAAATGGAGAGGAGGCGTGGGTAGGACAGTGGGCAGCTGCAGCTTGTTAGCCTGTAAATATTGTGTGTGGGGAAGGGTAGGACAGGGAGAACATAGGAGTGGGAGAGTGTTTTGGGCTCCAGCTGTTACTTCCTCAGCTTGGGTTTTTTAGTGATTTATGTAGGAGCTTCTACTCCAGTGTGAAGTAGAAGAAAGGTCCAGCCTGCCTTTGCTCCTATTTAATTTCCAGTCTTTTGCCAAAAAGCATCACCTTCCACCTCCTGCACCATGTCACCTCACTTTCTTTTGGGAGTATGCGGAAATGGGTAGCTTGAAGGCAAAAAAAAAAAAAAAAAAAAAAAAAAAAAAAAAAAAGGAATTTCAGTGAAGTGCCTCCCTCTGACACTGACACACGTGTGCTCAAGCCAAGGTGACTGGATAAGCAGGAGCCTGTGCCAGCTCTGTGCCGTGTGCCTCTGCGAGCGCAGCCGTTGTCCTGTGCAGGAGCTGTTCTGGGGGATGGGCCCCTGCCCGGGTGTACCCGGAGCCCCCTGGACTTGGCGAACGCCCTGCAGACACCCTGCCCGGGTGTGCGGGAGGCCCGAGGGAGGAGCTGAGCGGGTGCAGCGAGCGTGGCGGCGTGTGTGTGACAGCAGTAGGGAGCAGAGTAGCGGGGGATTAGTGTACAGCGCAGAGGGGGGAGGTGTCACAGCAGGTAGGTAGCGGGTTAGGATTCAGGAAAGGGGAAGGGTAGGAAGTGGCGAGCGGGGGTCGGGTTAGGAGTCCCGGGGTCTCACAGGCAGGAGGATGCTCGGGGGTGAGGCCGCTGTGCTGCAGCCAGCTGTGACCCCGTGGGCGCCCGGTGCCGGCTCTGGGGGGCTCCTGCCAGGAGGGAGCACAGGAGGTGGGATGGGCCTGGCCTTTGCCTTGCAATAACTGCACAGTTCTGCTCTTCACCAGCTTGTTGGCTGTATAGAACAGGGAGAACACGTGCTTGCCCATGCAAGAGGAAAACGAAAATTAAAAAGGAGCAAGCAGGGGGTGTGATTCCTGGTTTCCATGAGTGGAACGAGGGCCGTGACGAGATTCTGAATCAAGTGAGCTCTGCAGATGTGGAGGAGACAGATGCTGCTTATGGCTCTGAAACCAGTCTCTGCTGCCCACTACTGAAGTAAAATATCCCCTCTTATTTTTTTTCAATGCCTCTAATAGGGAGAAAGGCATCTGAGCTCAGCAGTATCTGATCTGTCTACCCTGATACATTGGTGCTCTCTGCTGAACCCTCCAGCATTAAGACCAGAGTTGGACCTTAAGCCTTTCAGTGACTCAAAGTGGCTCGGGAGCGACAGGCACTTCTGCTTGTATATTTGCTGAATGAAAGAACTGGATGCAGTTTCTTTTAGCTGAGAATCTCCCTTCATGCCAAAATCCAGTGGATCATTTTAACTGACTTCGTATGTTTTAATTTTATAGAGCGTTGAAGGGGGACTCTGATAATCTCAAAACTGCAGCTATGGCTGCTTCCATCATCAGCAATTTGAGCTTTTCCTTTTTAAATCTAATTTTAGCATTTGCTTTTTAACAACAGCAATTTTGGAAAAAATCCTGGATTGGTTTTGGTGACTAACTTGTGATTCTTTTTTTTCTTTCCCTTTGCGGTACCTGGTGCCAGGCTCTGGGTTCTCTCCCATTCTCTCCTGAGAGACTCTGAGGGAAAATTAGCGCATCAAGACTGTAACTAGTGAAATTTGTACAACCAAAGAAATCTATTTTGTGGTTCAAGGATAATAAAGTTTACTTTACATTTTAGAACCTTTAGTTAATGTGGTTTGCCCTGTGTGACGTCTGTAATTTCTCTATCAACACTTCAGTTATTATTGTTAGTCACCCTGTAATCTAGCAAACATACTACTGGTTTCCTGCCTTTGGGTGCAGAAGTTCATGATCCCCTAAATCGATGCCAACTGCAGGAATATAAAGATGAGCACATGCTAGTTGTGTAGATTTGGTGGAAAATTGGCATCTGTGCTGAAAGGGGAAGAAGAGAACCGAGACCAGTAACTGTTAGCTCCATGTAGCTTGAAAGGGACTCCGGGAGGGGAGGGGAGGTTTCTGCCCCAGAGAAGCTGGAGTAGAGGGAAGGACCTGGGGACAGACAGGTCAGGTGATACATGTAGGATACAGTGGCTTGTTCAGGAAGGAGGAAAAAAGCTACACTGTGCTGTTAACAGTACAGCCCCGAGGCAGGTAGGGATGCTGACTTCAGAGAGGCTCTAGTGCGATCTGTGGGAGGATCAGGATTGGGGATCAGGCATGGACACCCCCCCCGTGTGCTGCTGTGGCAGCGGGGCCGGACCCTGCTCACAGGTGTGGGAAGTTCCTGCAGCAACAACCCTGAGGATTCGGCTCCGTTTGAGCGACTGCCAGGGCGTGGGGGAGAGTCTGTGTCTGTGTGTCTGTGTCTGTGTGTCGGGGGTGCGAAGGGAGGAGCCCTGGGCCCCGCAGTCGGGCTGTGGCTGCTCCCACAGTACCTGGGGAGCGAGGCACGGCCGAAGCTCGGCTCAGCAGCTGCTGGAACACACAACACTGGTACCAGCCAGACCTTAAGCCTCTTGGCTTTACTTGGCTCTGCTTAAAAAAAAAAAAAAAAATAATTTGTTGACATGATTAAAGTTTTTTAAAATACAGTTTAAATGGTAAAAAATTAACACATTTTATGTAGCCCAAACAAGCTTTCCTTAGTCTGGGTCAACGGATACCGCCAAGATGTGCCAGCACAGAAAGAAAAGCAGCCTCAGGGGGAAGAGGGCAGAATTCCTTTCCTAAGAGCTGGTGTCACACTCACTCATGGCCCCAGTCTCCGTCCTTTGCAGCTGTTGACTTGCCGGTACAGCTGGAAAAGGGACCTTGGCATCTCCACAGGAACAGTCTTGGTTCAACTTGTTACCACAAGTGTAGACTTACACAGACTCAATGTGTTTCATGGGGCCTCTCTTATAAAATGGAATTTTTAAAAAAAAATTATTTAAATAGATTTCTTTTTCTCCACACTTAGACATTTTTGTAGTTTTCTTGGGCCGGACTTACTACTTCGTACTTATATATTCCTAACACAACTGAGCCATGATTAGGACATATGCAATAGTTATCATTTAGACAAAAGTAAACATATTCTTATATCATCATAGTCCTTGTAAGAATTGAAGCAGGTCATCAGCATAATTTTTCTCAGACAAAAGCATATAGTATCATACACGCTATAAACATGCCAGCCTGAAAGCCTCCCATAACATCCCACCCACTGCACATACACCGGGGGGGGGGGCAGGAAATCCACACCCATTTCCCTACAGCTGAGATTGCCCAGAGGGTCCATGTTACAGTCCCCAGCTCCAGTTAGAACAGGATGACGCGGATGGTTGCTCTGATGAAGGTGGCCCAGAAGCCTCAACAACAAGCATACTGAAAAGCGTCAGAACTAGAAAAATCTCTCCAGCTGTTTTGCTGCTTCTATGACAAACCTGGTGTTGAGACACAAGGGGGTAGGGCCTAATTTCAGATGCTCCACTAGATGAAAGTCCAGAAAAGGTGCTCAGGCAGGAGTGTCTGGTTTATGATGGCTGCTCAAAGCATCCACAGAGCTGGCATGCAACTGCTTCTGGCGAGATGTTGCTACTGGAGTAAAACAACAACAAAAAAATATTTTTCAGACCTTTGTAGCTTCACGTGTTGTTTTTTTTTATCCCCTTGGTGTGCTAGAAGGGTACTCTTGTGATTTCATTAACTTAGGACATACATTTAGGGTGGAGACTTTACTATAAACAGAAAAAAAAAAAAAAAAATCAGTTCCATTTTATAGGGACAATGCAAAGAGCTTCAAGGCTGCACAAATACAGACTAGAGTACAACTGGTTAGGTAGGTCTGAAAGAAAGAATCTTGCAGCTAAACACATTATACAGCAACAGGGAATTAAAGATGTGCTACTGGGAGTGTGGAGGGGAAGTTAATGTCATATTGGGCCATAGCTCGAGGTGCAAACTTGCAAGACATGAAGTAAAGCCCGCTCTAGACATCACTGATTTCTGTGCAGTGTAGTTTTACTGAAGATTACCACAGAGCTGACCACCATATCTTGTTAAAAGCAAATGGGAAGGAGCAAATGATACTGAAATATGGAAGACAGCAACAGGAAAGAATAACAGCAAGCTAAAAAAAACACAGTAATGCATAGAGAAAGTTTTAAAAAGCAATTAATGTGGCACAGGTATGTAGATCGGGTTTGAAAGGGACTCTTTTTCTTTTTTTTTTTTTTTTTTAAGAGACAGTAATTGTGGAAAATCTGCGCACCACTTTAAGCCCAGTAAGATCAAGATCAGATACTATGGGGAAGAGCTCCTCTCCTAAACCTGTCCAGCAAAGCGGAGCGTTGCTGCTCTGGACTGGTCTGTGCAACCTGCACTAGTGCCCAACTGCACAGCACGTTACAGAGCCCTCCTATAGCAAACTGGCAATGACTCACAGACTGTGAACACCAGGAAAGATGACAGCGCCCTTCTACAAAGGGTAGTCCTAGCATGAGTAATCCATGGCATTTATGCATACCATATATTCAAACTAATTTTCTCCAGAAATGTGAAAAAAAAACAAACCACAATGCAACCCTACAATTATGCAAGGCAAAGTAATGAAATCTCAGCCATTGAGGGTCTAGCTCTAAAAATCTAACTTTGAAAGAAGTATACATGAGTAGAGATGGAGACAAATAATGTGGAAATTTAAAGCCACTTAAAATTTGGAATAATGGAAAATCCTGAATTCTCACCACTGAAGAGCACAGGGAAATAAAAAGAAATTCTACTCAAGGGATAACCTGAGCAGCTGGGAGGAATCTTAGTGCTAAGCATGGACTTACGCATGTATTTTTATTTTTTTTTTTACTCATGACATACTTTGTGCCCAATCTCTTACCCCAAAGCCTGTCCCTCAGGTCCTGCTAAATGCAAGTTTTCTTGGTTTCAGGATTAAGTCCCATCTCATATTGGTAAATAAGGTGAGGGATGGAAATCTCATGCCCCTTCCCTGTGTTTCCCCCCATACATAATGCTTGAATGCCTGTAGGATTCTCTCCAGGATTGTCTACTTAGATGCAAGGTGCTATCATGGAAACTGCAAATCACAACAGATTTACCCACGTGAATCAGCTGTGAGAAACTGGGGCACTCAGGGTAACGGAGGACGACAAGTTTCAGTCGTGCTGACCTCTGCCACCTGCTTCTGGAGACAACGTGCTGGACTAGGTGAAGCTGTCGTTTTAACTGTGTTCCACTTCTGTTGCTGCTACTTGTGTTTTCAGCTGCCTCTGTGCTCACAGATCCCACCGGTGACACAAACTGGGGATGCAGTGGAAGATGAGTGCAGGCTGCCCACCCTGCTGCTGCTCGGTCCCCCCTCAGGGCCTCAGGCGGAGCCGCCTGCCTGGTGTCCAGGTCCCTGTCATCGAACACGGCCCGCCTGGTAAATCGGGTCTTGACACTTCAGGAGAGCTGCAGATGGTCCAAATGGACAACAATCAGTGCTTGACTGCCTGTGGACAAAAGGCAGATACTGTCTTGCTAAGAAAAACTGAACTCCCCCCCAGACCAGAAATGAAGTGTCTGCTCCCAGGGTCTGTCAGAGCCCCCGGCAGCCTTCCTGCCTGACGGAGACCTGCACCACAGAGATACAGCCCTTTCTGGTAAGAGCAAGTAAATGTCCCCCTCCCCGCCAATTCCCTTTTTTCTGCAGTCAGACAACACCCGCCCCCACCCCAAGGTCATTCCCCTTCTTTGAGTTTTCCTCTACTTTCCCTTTTAGGCTGCATGGTAACCAAAGCACACACTAATTTTGCATCTGGTACCAAAAGCAAGCAAGGATATAACAAGGGTATAATTACAGCATTAGTTTAAATCAGCCAATTTCACTTTGAACTGAAAGCACTCTATTAATAAGTGATCATATAATTAGTACCTGTCTCTTACCTGAGATAGCACCAGCAGAACATCAATAATGTCCTGCTACAGCATGGAGCCTCTGGAACTGCCTCCAGCTGTTCCGAAACATGCCATCTGATCTCAGATGCCATGCATGTAAGGAATCACTAATAGGAACAATTACTCTTATAAATTATAGATATTTTTCCTCACCTCTTCTACTATGGCACACAAAAAGTCTTCTCAGAGCTGCTTGGCAAGTCGTCTGTCAAAGATCGTGTGTGTGTGTCCATCCCACAGGTCTCCTCCACACGGGCAGTATTGCTGCGGCCTGTCTGCTTGATGCCAGCTTGACAGTTCTCACCATTTACAGATGTAACGGTTTCAGACGCACTGGCTGCTTGAATGGATGTTGTCTCTGACATCTTTAGTAACGTATCAGCTGTCTCCCGATTACATCACTCCATGAGGAAGCTAGAATTCTGTATTCCACAGAAACCAGTAACAATGAGCTGAATTACACAGCACATTGCAGGTACACCCACACCAGGGTGTGACAGCAGGCACACAGTAACGTTAGTGCTGCCCTTTTTGGACAGATGAATTCTGCAGGAAACAGAGTTTGAAGAACTGTGGACTACAGCCCACCACGAGTATGAAATAGCATGCCGGCAGACACGATTTTAAAAATGTACATGCAAGATAATGCTCATCAAACCAACTTTTCAATAGGTTTATTCAGAAAACCTTGGGAAAGGAGGAATCATTATGCTCAATAAAAACATCTGTTAGAGCCCAGCATGGGTAGATATCACTGGTATTTACAACACCAAGCACTACACTGCAGTGACAAAAGAGTTTGTTTTGGACTACTGCTTCTATGACATTTCATCCTAGTGGGGTCTTTAAGGAAGTTAGGAAGATGTTAATATCATAGAATGCTTTGGGTTGGAAGGGACATTAAAGCTCATCTAGTTCCAACGCCCCTGTCCTGGGCACGACCACCTTCCACCAGCCCAGGTTGCCCAAAGCCCCGTCCAACCTGGCCTTGAGCCCTTCCAGGGAGGGGGCAGCCACAGCTTCTCTGGGCAGCCTGTGCCAGGGCCTCACCCCCCTCACAGGGGAGAATTTCTGCCTTAGATCTGATCTAACTCAGAAACAGTGCAAAGACTGGTGAACTGTGCAATAGCAACAGCCCATGGTCACGTTTAATGTGACCGAATGTAACGTAAGTTCACACCATAACAACAAATATTAAAAACCCTAAGTGGAAAACCCCAATGATCTAGCACTGACAATAACTGGCCACATATGGAACCCTTCGACTGAAAAACGCTCTCAGAGAGCACAAAGAAACTGAATTACCTGGCAAAAGAATCCAAGGAAAATTTATAAATATCTATTTAAAGAATGAGCAAACATTCAACAGTCAAAGATTTTCAAACTGATCAAGGATGGGTATGAAAATTAAGAACCAAAACCCCAACCTCTGGAGTTTAGGGAGGAATGAGTAGTTGTGGGTCACAGGGCTGCAGACGCTTTTCCAAGCAGGTGAAGGAGGCACCAAGGGCAGCAGACTGTGCTCAGAGGGGAAGATACACGACTCTCAGACACACACCGCCCAGAGCTGCTCCTGCTCTGGAGAAACAAGCCCCCAAACCCGGGGTCACGAAAAACACCCGCTTTAATATTATGTGGTAATTTATGTGGCAACTTCCAACATAAACCCCCACTGGTTTACCACTCAAGGAACCTGGGGGTGCTGAAACACCTACTTACGTTACCCTACCTATGTTACCTGGTCCCCAGTGCCCCCATAGAAAGGCAGGAGTAACATCCAGTATTACAGCAGCTTGGTCAGGCAGTGAATTTCTCTGGTCACCCCGATAATCCAGCACTCGTCACCTTGCTGGTTCTCAGTTAAACACCAGAGAGCTCACCTCTGTGATCTGCCTTGGAACACTGAAGTTGTGCTTGCCCCCGAACACTCCCTCAGCTTTAGAACCACTCCACAGTGATAATTTCAAAATGTTTTTTTAATGACAAACACATTATTTGAAAGAAAGGACAAATCAGAGAAATCAGTAGTTGTGAATTTTTGAAAAGTTGCAACATGCCTAGAAAAACATTCTTGCTTTATGACACTTAATAAGTAGCAAGACAATGAATGATTCTTGGAAGGTTCTGTGGAAGGACTATACACATGATTTTTAAAGATTTAAGAAATAAGAGAAGGGTGTAGTTCACATAGCAAAAAGATTTCACAAAACACTGAGTTTGATGAAAAAGATATTCAAGAACTTAGAACTGAATGAAGAAGAGTTACAGAAAAATTATTTAGAAAAATTTGCTAAAAAGCAGCAAATATAAAACCAGAAGACTGGAAAGCATCAATAATGGAATCATGGATGTATGTATGGGAGCGCTAGGAAGTTCAGTGAAGGAAGCTGGAACACATACTCATTTTCCATCCAGTTAGTTCCCAAATTTAATTTATGTCGATTTACAGACGTCAGTTGTGAAAGGGAACGACTGTAGTAACAGTATAATGAGAAGGGTTAAATGGTCATGAATGGAAATATTCAGAAGGTTTTTCTCTCCTGTTTTGGAGGCATAATTGTAATCTTTCCACAGGACTTGAAAACATCTACTTTAAAAAAATATGACCCAGAATGACCTCTACTGACAGAAGGGTGAACTGCCACGAACATTCAAAGGATGGAATTCAGCAGAGGCTGAATTAAGAAAGGCTTGAGAACTTTCTCCAGATTTAAAAGTGGAATGTCACCACCTACCTGGGCCAAGGCCAGCTCCAGCTGTCAAGATTTCGTTTAGCATAGAAATTCAGCTCGGACAGACACAAGGTTTGGTCCAAACATTCAGGTGAAAGGCTGTACTAGTTCATAAAGGTTTTACATAGCACATACAAAACTAGGAAAAAAATTCTTTAGGGGAGAATCTTCTTGTCATGAACACTTTAAAAAAACAACAACACAAACATCTGAGGAAAAGCATATATAAACAAAAAAAAGTAATGCTGAATTATTTAGAATAATTTGTTGGATGCCTTAAAATGCATTAGGGAAAAAATACTAGACTAGTATCACACACAAATCGCTTGAGCGAAGACTTGGAAGAAAACACAGAAACGTCTCTGTTACCCCCATGTAAAATGACAGGCATTACTAGCTAGCGTTGCCAGGAGGTGGGAAATGAACAACTGATACCAAGCAATAATGAAAATCTACAAATCAGCATCTTCCAAATGAAAAAGCAAAATCTAAAGAAGATGAGAAGCAGGGAGCTCTCTCGGCCGCTCCTCACACCCAGGCAGGGAGCAGAGGGCAGGGCCACGGCCCCAGGCCTGGCAGCCACCCTCTCCCAACCCAGCCAAGGGGCTCCCCAGCACAGCCGGGGCAGGACTTTACACTTCTCCTTGCTGAACTGCGGGAGGTTTCTGTTGGCCCATTTCTTCTGGCCGGGGGGTCCCTGCGGGTGCCAGCACGCCGCCCGGGCACACCAGCCACTCCACGCGGGCTGGCGGCATCTGCACGCTTGGAGATGGTTAATGAAGATGTTGGAGGGGATGGGGCCCAGCACTGACCCCTGGGTGCAGCACCAGTCCCTGGGTGCGGCACCAGTCCCTGGGTTCGGTACCAGTCCTCGGGTGCAGCACCAGTCCCCGGGTGCGGCACCAGTCCCTGGGTACGGCACCAGTCCCCGGGTACGGCACCAGTCCCTGGGTACCGCACCAGTCCCTGGGTGCAGCACCAGTCCCTGGCCTCCAACTGGACTCCGACTGGGCCTAGCTGGTTTCCAACCCACCCCATGTTCATCCAGCCGATACGGCTGTGAGGTCTCACGGGATGCTGTACAAAGGCCGCACAGACAATGGAATACAAATGTCTAAGATCATATTTATTAATGCAACTGGCTAAAGAAAGGCAAAAAAGGAGGGCAAGTGTGCCAGGCCGTATTCATAGCAGTAACAGAAGTCCAAGCCTGATTTGGTTAAATATTATGACACTGAAAATTGATCTCCAATCCACTGATTGTAAATTGCTCTAGACTGTAGTAGAAGACACCCGTCTCACATGGTGATACCTGAAACCATTTATGCATTTTATAGCCTCAAGGAAAAAAGATGGGTAAATTCAAAAGGGAAGGCAGGAGGGTGGTACCTCACCCAGAGTCTGTAACAGCAGCACTCACCGACTCAGGGCAGGGGCAGCCCCCCTGCTTCTGTCAGAAGCAGCTGCTTGACCTCCATCAACAGAGTGGTCCCTCACCGTCACCAGATCAGTGGCAACCTAAACAGATGAGATGCACAAGCTCCTGTGATACTGTAGCCAAGTCCTCCCCGCTGAGGGTCCTTAGCGCAGTGCTGCAATACAGCAACAGATCTACACTTTATTTTTATAGAAAAGCTTGCTAACAAATCCCATCCTTAGCGCACACACTAGAGCGACTGTTCTGCATCTTAAATAGGGCTCGCAGCTGCTTTGTCCTCTTAGTTTTTGCCTTATGAGCAATTCTTGCACTCCATGCTATCCAACCGAGCACAATTTATTCACTGGTACAGCAAAAGTGATTTTCCGAGCCCCTGCATGAGGCCAGCACAAACAAGCGTGGTCTGGCACAACTCTGCATTCTTTTTTCATATTAACCATTTTTCCACTCTCTGAGCAGACAGGCAGAAGCAGGCAAACATGCCTCTAGCCATTTCCCAGAGAAGAAACATTTACAAGAGTCAAAGTTATTTAATTTCACTTGTTTTGGAAGAAAAAAAAAAAAAAACAAAACCAACCACAAACGAGTTCTAGAAGGTCTTTAGTGGATACCAATGTTTCCAGGGCACAAGCAAGGTAACCAACAGACCTTCCTACGTGGATGCCTGCCCATATTGGCTTCCTCATCTAAGCACCTCTCAGGTATTACGAATTCATCCACAGCATAACCATGGGAAAGGAATATTTCATTAGTGCTGCAGAAACTGAAGTAAATGACAGGGCAACTGTTATCTGGCCAAAGCAGTCTGAGAGCTACAGAGCTTCTTTTGGGAGAAATGGGACAGGAGTGGATGAGAACATCCTCTGCCCCTTCCAGTACCTCTCCGAGGGAGAGTGTTCACAGAGACAGGGGTTAGGAATTCACAGCAGCGTCTCATAAAAAAATGTGCAAAGAAAGACAAAAACCAGAGGTAAAAGTAATGCTTTTAAGGGTCATTCATTTCATTCCTTGTCATGTTTCTTCTAACACTTTGTTTTAAACATGCCTCAACAAATGATCAAATAAAGTGTCACGTTTTCCAGCGAAGTCTCCAAGCCTTCATCTGGTTTAGCTCCACGCTGATTGAGCAAATTTTTTCTTTTTAACTCCCCAATGATGCTAAATCAGAAACCACAGCAATAAACACAGAGGAAAGGGACAGGGTGGTGAGAACAGGAGATCTGCAACTCAACTTCATGAAAAAAAGTTTCCCCTCTCTGCTACATCTACCACAGTGAAACAGGCATTAAATTTTGAATATATACAACAGGAATCACAAGGACAGAGGTCTGAGTTCATCCACCCTAGTTTAGGGTGAGAAGTTACAAGTATAGTCAATATTTCAAAGCCCCTGAAATGTTTCAAGTTCTTTTTCTATTAAATTGTCTAATAAATGTAGGACCTCTACCTACAACCCTTATATAATTTCTAATATGCAAATTCTAGTTATTATAAATCAGATAGATTACTCAATATAAATTAAATGAATAAATTTTAAAAATCTATAAATAAGCCTCTAAGGAAATTAGTTAAGCACTTGAGCTCTCTGGAGTTCTTTGGTCCAGATGACTTCAAGATTGAAGAAGTTCTTCTTCAAAACAGAAATGCTAAAACTACCACAAATCGGTACCCCAGGCAAACAAGAAAACTGTGCAAAGTTAATTTCTAAGTGTAACTGCATGAATATTTATCAGGAAAGATACTGGAAAATAGCAGAATTTACAAGAAATTAAAAATAAACTGATCAAAGCAAGCAGCGCATATGGAAGGTCAAAAAGAGCAAACACAAAGTGAAATCTTCCCCCCAGATCAAACTTGCTATACATTGCAAAATGTAACTCAAGAAATAAACTCTTTGCCTCGGCCTTTCAAAAACAAGATTAAAAAAGACAGCTAATAGGAATGAGTAATAGGAAATGGAATTAACCCTGCTGGAGGTATAGAAATATTCAAGAATCCTCTTATTCCCAAGGAGATTCTGTATAATTTCCACCCTAGAATTTGGAAGGGATGGAACACTAAATCACAAATTCAAATATATTTTTAGAAATCTTTCCAGTGTAGTGTTACAACATTAAGTTAGCTAAAGCTGCTTGCTCACCCCTAGTCGTCCTCCAACACCAGGGGTTTTGCCCTCAGAGGTGGAATTTGATCCCAATCATCACTCCACCCGGTCCCTGTTAAAGTCATGTGGCCGCACTCCCCCACTCTGGAGAGCTCCTTCACCACAAATCCCTTCCTCCCTGCACCCTGGGGCATCACCCCGCAGCACCTCGCTGCGCTGTGCCACTCACACCAGCCCTCCCAGGTCCAGCAAAGAGGCACCAGAGCCAAGCAGCCCGACCTGCATCACCGGAGTGCGCCACGTGCCTTTGGGATTAGCCAGTCATCTCTTTATCCAACAGTTTTTCCTGAGGCACTCGCTGCTATATTTAATTACTGCAGAACACTGATGGCTTTTTACTCCTTTATTTCATCTTGCATGCAAAGTCCAGTGAAAGTAAATAAAAAGAAAGTACAGACATCGAGATGAGAGAGAAGGCCTCATCCCCTGCCTTTCCTCCTCTAGCTGGAAGACACACGATGCTTCCTTTGCCACTTCAACAATCAAGTTTTCTTTCTGCTGTTACTGCTTTCAGGCAGAATGCTACACAAGGCCATCTGACCTGGTTTATACAAAGAAAACTGTGGTGCAGAAAACTGGCTGATGGAGCAGTACCAGAGTCGGAACAGAGTTGCTAAATTTCCATATTAGCTCCTGTAACTATTCTTCCTTCATTTAAGTTTATAATATCCCTTTTTATTCTCCATCACATGCTGATTTTTCTGTGCTAGAAAAAAATTAATGGAGCTTCTATTCAAAATACAATGCATCTTTTAGCAGTTTTCCTGAGTAACAATTTAGCAGCCTCCTGACACAACCAGAAATGTCAGTTTTCAGACATCACTGTCTCCAAACTGAAGTACAAAAGCCCAGAATTCGAACAGTATTTGAGGATTTCTATCCTATGCCTGATGTGCTCTGCCCCTCACATTAGAGTCCAAGTCACACTTGTGTTCCCACAGAATCCAGTCAAAGTCTATGGAAGTGGGAAAGTGTAGTTGCACACTCTGTATTTCACATCACCTTGTTAACTGGAGCCAGGACCTCCAAGTTTTTGCATTCTCCAGGTTTCACACCACCAGGTGCTTCCAGCAGAGAACAAAACCCACGTGTTGTCAAAGAAGAGACACACTTGGGTGAAACTCATTCGCAGAATCTTAGGGGAAAAGCCATACTCCAGACGAGAGAGGAAACGAAAAAGCGGCCAAGGTCCCCACACCAAGGAAAACTTCTTGTCCCAAGTCTCAGGATCAGTTTAGAAGCGAGAATTTTAGCAAAATGTACTATCCAAGGCTCTGAGAACGTGGCTTCCCCACACCACTTCACAGGTGTTTGTTCATATATGACCAGTCTTTGAGGTATGGAAATGCAAAAGCAAACCAACCCAAGGCAGTATCTATCTCTTCATGCATCAGGGAAAAACGCTCTGAAAGACTTTCAACAGCTTAAGTAACTTAAATAAATCAGGTAAGGATTCATAGCTTTAATCTGCCCAGTACGCCGCCTGAGCAGAGAGACAAGGCCTGAAAAAAAATGTCCCTTCCCCCTCTAAGTGTGACCCTGAGCACAGAGCCAGAAAGAAAGATCGGGGGACAAGAGGTCTCATATAGAGAGCCTGCATATTCAGTCATATTCATACGTAATCGACATTTTTAGGAAGTTGCAACACATTTGCATTCCTAGCATCGTGTCATCATATAAACTGAACATAATTCTGTTTTCTCCAAGCAGCCTTCAGCTCAGAGATGGGGTCACCTCCTCTGGCAGCAGGCTGCTCCCGCACGCCCCTAACACACAGGTTTGCACCACTCACCGCTCACCATCTCTAGCAGCCTGGGGTTTCCTTCCTTTTATCCACAGGACTTTAAGAATGAAGTAGAGGCATTTGGAGTTCTTTTACTGCAACCTTCTTGGGGACAGAAGAATATAAACAAAGGGCCTATAACCTAGGAACCTTGTGTTCAAGTTTTGGCTCCACTACAGATCTACTGGGCAAAACTTCAGACAAATCTCTCTCATTAGCAAGTTTTCTAAGACATGGAAAAAATTCCCTTTTTTAGAGAGATGTTCTGGGAGAATTCTATTCTATTACAAAGTACTCAGTGATGCTGCTAATACTGCCCTACTCAATTCACTGACAATCCTTGTGGCTGTGGATCACTGACAATTCCCTTTTGCCTTCACAGGAAAGCTGAAATGTCTGGTTTGTATATGTCTTACTGATACACAAGTTAACGTTTTCAAGTACTTTCTCTGCAATTACCCCACTGAACAGTACAAAAGGATTCAGTACTCCCACGATGCTTAGCACATCTGAGTTCTCATTCCCCTATTAAGCACAAATTCACTAATTCTTTTTAGCTTCTGCTGTTACTTGTCAGCACCAATACCCTCTTGTTCTGTTCCAATTAATTTTAAAACTGTTTTTCCAAACATTTTTCATTGCTCTTGATAACCACCATTGGCATTCAGAACACAAATTTCCAAGACAGCTACAAAACTGCGTTACTTGCACATAAATATTCTTTCTCTTTAGGAAAAAAATGAAACAACTGGTGTATACTGCCAGAAGTTAAAATGACTGGCTGCTGATCTTACCTGCTGTAGCATCACTCCTGAAGAAATCCCATTCTCCACCTTATTGCCAAAGCAGGCCTAGACATAGAAGCACGTCATTGAAAAACATTCTCTACCAACACATCTCCCTGCTAGCCCACCTCAGCACTATTTTAGCGGGGTTTTTAGCTCATTTGTGGTTTTTTTTTCCCCAGATTTTTTTTTTTTTTCATTATTAAAGCTAGCTGTCAACTTTATGAGTAGCAGCTTTTCTGATGCTTTGCTGACATTCATTTTCCTGAAAGCGAGTACAGGTCAACAGCTTTATTACTGGTTTTAAAAGGACCACCTACTTTTTCCTTTGTAAGCCACATGTAACACCTGCCTTAAAGACTTCATGGTCCAATGGCACAGCTCTGCAAGTGTGTGCACTCACCGTGAGGACAGCACCTGCATTCACGTACGCTGCTCAACAAGGCCTTAAGTGAGCAAGTCAAGCAAGACTACATTATCTGGAGCTAAGAACAAGAACAACAATTAGAGATCAATTTAAGGGAACAACACAAAAAGTAAAGAAGCATAGGTACATTAAATCAGGTACTAATCTGTACAGGGGCACACACTGAGGAATTTAACTTAAGAGCACAGGAGAGGGCAATCCAAGGTGTTGTCACGTACAGGACACGCAGGTGACTGGGCCAGTCAGCACGGGTTCGTGACAGACAGGTCCTGACTGACTGACCTGACCTCCCTCTACCACAACGTGACCCACTCAGTGGGTGAGGGGAGGGCTGTGGATGTTGCCCACCTGCACCTCAGTAGTGCCTTTCACAGCTTCCAGCAGCATTCTCCTGGAGAGACTGGCTGCTCGTGCCTTCGACAGGTGTACTTCTCCCTGGGTAAAAAACTGGCTGTACTTGTGGTGAATGGTTTTAAATCCAGTTGGTGACCAGTCACAGATGATGCTCCCAAGGCTCAGTACTGGGGCCAGCTCTGTTTAAGATCTCTAGGAATGATCTGGACGAGGGGCTCGAGGGCACCCTCAGCAAGTTTGCAGATGACACCCAGTTGGGCAGGAGGGTTGATCTGCTGGGGGTAGGGAGGCTCCACTGAGGGGTCTGGGCAGGCTGGAGCGATGGGCCAAGCCCAGCTGTATGAGGTTCCACAAGGCTCAGTGCCGGGTCCTGCCCCTGGGGCACAGCAACCCCATGGGATGCTGCGGGCTTGGGGAGGAGCAGCTGGGAAGCTGCCTGGCGGAAAAGGACCTGGGGGGTTGGTCAACAGCAGACAAATATGAGCCAGCAGTGTGCCCAGGGGGCCAAGAAAGCCAATGGCATCCTGGCTTGTGTCAGCACTGGCATGGCCAGCAGGGACAGGGAAGGGATCTGAGCCCTGGGCTCGGCACTGGGGAGGCCGCCCCTCGCTGAGGGGGTTCAGTTCTGGGCCCCTCACCCCAAAAAGGCCATTGAATGACTCGAGCGTGGCCAGAGAAGGGCAACGGAGCTGGGGCAGGGTCTGGAGCACAGGTCTGCTGGGGAGCGGCTGGGGGAACTGGGGGGGTTCAGTCTGGAGAAGAGAAGGCTGAGGGGAGACTTTATCACTCTCTACAACTCCCTGAAAGGAGGGTGTAGCAAGGTGGGTGTTGGTCTCTTCTTCCAAGTAACAAGCAATAGGACAAGAGGAAATGGCCTGAAGTTGTGCCAGGGAAGGTTTAGGTTTGATATTAGGAAAAGATTTCTTCATCAGAAGGGTTGTCAAGCATTGAAACAGGCTGCCCAGGGAAGGGGTTGAGTCACTATCCTGGGAGGGCTTTAAAAGACGTGTAGATGGGGACACGGTTTAGTGGTGGACTTGGCAGTGCAAGGTTAGCAGTTGGACTCAATGATCTTAAACATCTTTTCCAACCTAAATGATTCTATGATTCTAAGCAGAAGGCTGTTTGGCTTCTAGAACTTAGAAAAGGAAAGTGTACAGACTTTGGAAGGAAGGACAGGTGACACGGGAGGACTACAGAGATGCTATTTGACACTTCAGGGAGAAAATTCATGCAGCCAAAACTTGACTAGAGTTCCAGCTGGTGAGTACTGTGAAGGACAAGAAGAAGGGTTTTTTAAAAATATGTTAACAGCAAAAGGAAGATCAGAGACAACGTTGGTCTGTTACTCAATGAGGTCAGTCACCTCACAAAGGGACACAAAGCAGAAATGTTCAATGCCTTTTTCACCTGTCAACCCTGCGACCCCTGTGCTGGAAGACAGTGACTGGTGGAATGATAAACTGCCAGACAACCCTGGACTTGTTTGAGAGTTGCTGCTCCAGCTGGATGTGCGCAAGATTCATCCAGGGGTACTGAGTTGGCTGATGTTATCAAGGACCTCCCTCCATTACTGTTCAACAGTCTCAGGAGTCTGGAAAGAAAATTGTCCCAATTTTCAAGAAAGGTAAGAAGGAAGAACCCAGTAATCACAGGCCTGTCAGTCTCACTTCAGTACTTGGTAAAATTATGGAGATGTTTATTCTGGGAGTTATTGAAAACCACTTAAAAAAACACAATGCAGTCACTGGTCACAGCCAACATAGGTTCATGAGGGAAAAGTCCTGTTTAACTTCATTTGCTTTCATGACAAGGTCACCCACCTAGCTGACCAAGGGAAGCCAATAGATGTGGGGGGTTTGGATTTTAGCAAAGCTCTTGGTCCTGTCTCTCACAGTATCTTCTGGACAGGTCAAGTGAACAGCTAGGTAAAAGTCCCTAATACATTGGGTGAGCAATCGGCTGATGGGTCAGGCTCAGAGTCCCAGTAAATGGGGTGACATCAGGCTGGTGGCCAGGCACCAGTGGGGTTCCCCGGGGCTCAGCTTTAGGGCTGGTGCTCTTTAATGTCTTTATGATCTTGACGTAGGAATCAAGTCTCCACTAAGTAAGTTTGCCAATGACACTATATTAGGAGGAGCTGTGGACTCCCTCAAGGGTAGAGAGGCCTTAGGGAAAGATCCAGGTGGACTCGAGAGCTGGGCAAGCACCAGGAGTAATTTAACAAGGGCAAGTGCTGGATTCTGCACCTGGGACTTGGTAATCCTGGTTATGCACAGAAATTGGGGGCCAAGAGGCTGGAGAGCAGCCCCATGGAAAGAGATCTGGGGGTTTGCATTGATGGCAAGTTGAATACGAGTCATCAGTGTGCCCTGGCAGCCAAAAAAGGGCCAACCGTGTCCGGGGGGGGATCAAGCACAGCATCACAGCCCGTCAAGGGGGAGACTGTCCCCTCTCCATGGCCCTGCCGCAGCTCACCTCGAGGGCTGGGTGCAGGTCTGGGCGCTTCAATGTAAGGACAGAGTATGTCCAGAGGAAGGCGACCAAGATGGTGAAAGGCCTCAGGGACAAGACTTAGGAGGAGCAGCTGAAGTCACTTGGTTTGCTCAGGAGAAGGCTGAAGGGGCACCAGGTCGCAGCCCGCAGCTTCCTGGAGGCGGCAGCAGAGCAGGGGGTGCTGATCTCTGGTGACCAGCGACAAGACACCAGGAAACAGAATGAAGCTGCATCAGGGGAAGTTCAGGCTGGACGTTAGGAAAAGGTTCTTTACTGAGAGGGTGGTGGGTCACTGCCACAGGCCCCCCAGGGTCCCGGCCCCAGCCTGTCGGGGCTCCCGGAGGCCTGGCCAGTGCTCTCAGTCACAGGTAGCCCTGCGGGGAGCAGGGACTTGGGTCCCTCCAGCGCCATTCTGTGACCTGACTGTCCTCCCCGCGCAGCGAGCACCAGGCTGCGGATGCAGCTTTTCCAAAAGGCCCCGAAACCCCCGAGCGCTCCCTGAAGTCTCGAAACTCGAGCTGCCGGCGGCTGCACCCCGCTGAGGCCGCGCCGGGGGGCAGGGGGGGGCGCACGGCGGCTCCTGCTCCACGGAGCCA